GTTTTGCTGTTAATAAGTTTTTCCATATGTCAGTGGGATTGAACATTTTAATGGTATTTCATCATCTGTGAATTGTTCTGTTAAATCCTTTGCCTTTTTCTTTTCTGTGTTTCTTGTCAATTTGTGTAACCTGCTCTTACATTAGTGATGACAACCCAATGTCTGTCTTAATCTGTGGCAATTCGTTGCCCCAGTTGGTTTTTCTTTTGACTTTAAAGGCCAGTCCCTCCCCGCTTCCTTTGCCTTCCGTTCCCCCCACCCCTTCCTAACTTCTGCGGCCATGTCAGTCCTTTTTGTCCTTCCTCGTTTTTAGGTTTCCTATCTTGCTATCTTATGTGAGAGTCCCCCAACCCCAGTTATACTCCTAGGTTTTGTTATATTTTCATAGTTTTCATTGTTCTCTTAGATTTTATTCCTGGGGTGTCTGGGTGGCTCAGTCGTTAAGCGTCTGCCTTCAGCTCAGGTCATGATCCCAGGGTCCTGGAATCGAGTCCCGCATCGGGCTTTCTGCTCAGCGGACAGCCTGTTTCTCCCTCTCCCTCTGCCTGCCACTCTGCCTACTTGTGCTCTCTCTCTCTTTCTATCAAATAAATAAATAAAATCTTTGGACTTTATTCCTTCTTGAATTTTTCTCATACGGAGTATACACTGTGAAGGGGCTCATTTATTTTCTTGCTGATGGGTAGCCAACTTTTACAAATCCTCTGTGGTAAATAAACAATTTCTCCCCATGAAGTGAAATGCAACTTTTATCTTCTATTAATTTTCTGTATAAACTTGAAACTGTTTTAGGATAATTAGTGTTCTGTGATCACTGTGTATACTCTTACTGTTTTGTCACAGTAGCTCTATGGCAAGTCTTACTGTATGATAGAGCATGCCCTACTTCATAGCTTTTCTCCTTTCCAGACTTCCATAGTAGTTTTTCACATCCCAGTTAGAATTCTGTTTAGTCCTGTTTTCTTCCTTGACGCTCTGTTTGTTTCCGATTGGAAACGACATTAGGTAGGGAACCCAGGGTAGCTCAGTGTTTGAGCATCAGACTCCTGGTTTCTGCTCAGGTCCTGATCTCAGAGTCATGAGACCGAGCCCCATGGCAGGCTCCACGCTCAGCAGGGCATCTGCTTCAGATTCTCTCTCCCTCCCCCGCTGTCCCCCCTCACGTATTCTCTAAATAAAGTCTTAAAAAATGACGTTAGGTGTACATTTTATTTTAACAAGGATTAACATTTCTATATGAAGTGTTACTCCAGAAACAAAATACGTCTCTGTTTATTCAGGCCTCGTTTTGTATCCTACATCGTGTGTTTTATCCTGTACATTTTCTTTCCCTTTTGAATAACTGATTACTGCTGGCTATAGAATAGTTAGTGTACAAATGTGACAAAATTTTATTGTTGGGTCTACTCATTTGTGGTTAATTTTGTGGGCTTTTCTAAGTACTTAGCTACAGTTGTCTCTGTGTTCTCTTTATCTCCATTTCAGGTTTGTCACCTTACTTTGTGTAGAATGAGTCATAGGGGCAGTGATTTATAATGATGACAGGTACTTCACAGTTTAATATGATGTTTGCCAGTTATAGCCTTATTTTTCCTTTGTTATAATTAACATGTAGTGACATATTTATCAAGTGTTTGGCTTAATGAATTTAAACAATTTGGTACCATCATCCTTAACAAGTAATTTAACATTTCTGTCATCCTAGAGTGTTCCGTCCTAGAATGTTCCAGATCTCCATCATCACTCCCTGCCCCCCCCCCCGCAAAAAAACCACTACTTTCTTCACTTCTGTTACAGTAGATTTGTATCTCATTCAGCACATCTTTAAGATTCATCTATGCTGTTGGTGGTTTATTCTTTTTTTTTTTTTTAAAGCCATGTAACATTCCATTTTGTGAATAAACCACAATTTGTTTATCCATTTTCCTGTTGGTTTCAGTACAGTCATTTTCAGTTTGGGGCTATTATGAATAAAGCTTCCATGAACATACTTGCACAAGTGTTTCTGTACACATACGCTTTTATTTCTTTGGGGTGAAATAAGGAGTATTCAAACTGTACAAAAAGTAGAACTGCAGAACAGTTCTACCATGATATACTGTTTTACACTTTGACAAGCAGTGCGTGAAAGTTCTTATTCCACATCCCGGTCAACATTCGGAGTTTTCAGTCTTGTGGCCCTTTCAATGGGGGCAAAATGGTAGCTTGTTTGGTTTTAATTTCCTACCCCTGATAACTAATGTTGAGCCACACATTCAGTTGTTTTCTGCCCATTGACATATCTGTTTGTGGGAGTTTGTCTGTTGAAGTCATTGACCCATCTTTAAAAAAAAAAATGCTTTGCTCTTTTCATTATGATTTGTAACAGTTCTTTGTAGATTCTGGATGTGTGTTCTTTGCCAGGTATGTGTACGGTGAATGCTGCCTCCCAGTCTCCATCTTGTCTTTCCATTATCTTAGTGGTACCTTTCAAAGAGTATGAAATTTTTAAATTTTGATGGAGTTTGGTTTATCAGCTTTTTTCTTCAAAAGTTTTTTTTTTAAGATTTTATTTATTTGACAGACAGAGATCACAAGTAGGCAGAGAGGCAGGCAGAGAGGAGGAAGCAGGCTCCCCGCTGAGCAGAGAGCCTGATGCGGGGCTCGATCCCAGGACCCCGGGATCATGACCTGAGCAGAAGGCAGAGGCTTTAACCCACGGAGCCACCCAGGTGCCCCTACTTTTTTCTTCAGTTGTTCTTGTTTGTTATGACTAAAGAGTTCTTTGTTTATTGTAATATTGTGACAATTGTCCTCTTTTTTTTTTTTTTTCCTGGATGTTTTAGAGTTTCAAAACGCTTTTGTCTGTTATCTCTTTCCAGTTAATTTTGCATATGTGGGATGAGTTGAGGTTAATTTTTTTTCCACTGGGTATTCGTTTTTTTATCTGTTAAAAAGGCTTTCCTTTCTCCTCCTGAACTGACTTTGATGACTTAATACTGACTGTATATGTATGTGTCTGTCTGGATTCTTTTCTGCTGATTGGTTGATTGATTTGTCTGTCTTTAAGCTCGTGCCATACTGTTGTGATTACTGCAGCTTTGCAATAAGTCTTGAAATCAGGTAGTATAAGTCCAATTTGTGTTCTTTTTCAGAATTGCTTTGCCTTTTCTAGGCTGTTTGCATTTCCACTTAAATTTTAGTAACAACTTGTCAGTTTCTGCAAAAATATCAGAGATTTTGATTGAGTGTGTGGGATTTGGGGTGTGTGGCTATCTTAGGAATGCCTAGCTTTCGGGGCACCTGGGTGGCTCAGTGGGTTAAAGCCTCTGCCTTCGGCTCAGGTCATGATCTCAGGGTCCTGGTATCGAGCCCCGCACTGGGCTCTCTGCTCAGCGGGGAGCCTGTTTCTTCCTCTCTCTCTCTCTCTCTGCCTGCCTCTCTGCCTACTTATGATCTCTGTCTGTCAATAAATAAATAAATAAATCTTTAAAAAAAGAAACAAACCTAGCTTTCCAGTCCATGATCATGTATTTCTCCATTCATAACAGCCTTTGTACAGTTGTTCTGTTTCATTTTATGTAGAAGAACTTATTGTACAATGATGACAGAACCTTTCTTTAAAAATTGTGTGAGATCTTTCTGGGGCTTTGGATTCATTTTGTTTGCGATATATGTAAGTTTAATGGCCATCAAGATAGTGTTGAAAGCCTAGGATGATGTTTAGAAAATGCTGCCTAACATTCTGTTTCCTGTAGCTCTCAGTGGATAGAGAACCCCCTCTTGAACTGAGGGGAAGGGATAATTGGGACTGGGAGAGAAAGAGGAATTATTGCTCCCTTGCCTGATGGGAGTGATGCTCACGGGTAGAAGGAAACCAAGTGATATAAACCCAGATTTTCTTTGATTACCTAATGATATGATGTCTAAAACTAGGGGTGGGGGGGCACCTATCAAAGTGCTGACAGTTTGAAGGCATTTATCCATCTCTGCAAACTACTTACAGAAGTACAGCGACCCAAGACTTTGCAGACTTGTGTATCTTCAGTAAAATAATGGCTTTGCTTTTTCTGGAATAAAATGGGAGGCTGGTGGGGGGGGTGAAAGATTCAAACTCTTTCATATCTGAACTTAGGACAGAAGTGAGAAAGGGGCTTTGAGCCACAATGGCTCCTTCTAACAGTTCCCTGTAGTTCCTGGATACTCTCTGTTGGTATTTCAGATATCACAGTGAATTCCAGGTAAGCATCTGGGAATGGTTATCACATGGAGAGGTGTCCTGCTGTGCTGTTAGCCTTATAAAACTCATAGGGATTGTGAAGAACTTTGAACTTTTTCATCTGGGGATTTTTTTTTTTTTTTTTTTTGGTGTATCTCTAATATTTGTAATTTAAGGAACCTATTTTTTTTTAACTATTAACTAGTAGCCGAGACTTAAATAAATCTCTCTCTTGAAATCCAAACATTAATTTTTTAATAATGAAGTTTCTTCTGAACTCTGTGCTCTTAAAATCTAGAGAGCTAGGTTGTCCTGTTTTGAGAACTTAATTTCTAATGTCACCCTACCATGTTGTTATGAATTGTAATTTGATGAAATCGCTTTATTTTTCCCTGAATCTCTATAAAGGGATAGAGTGTCCTAAAGAAAATACTAATGGCCCAAATTAATTTCAACTCTTAAAACTCTTCTTGTGTGAGAAATTTCCTGGCATGCATTTTTTAAAAACTTGGGTTAAAGGAAATTTTTTATCTCTTCGGTAACTAATCAACTTTAATATGGTCATGGGCCTGTTTAAGAACCGCAGATTGGCCCAAGTTGGGTGTATGTTTGTGTGGCTGTGTGTGTGCGTACATCTCTTTGCCTGGCAGTGTTTGCCCCAGTCCTGAGGCAGTAAGCCTTCCATTTTACTGGAGTAAAGAGAGTATTCAGAGAATTTTGTATGCTCACCTTAAAAATAGTCATGTAACAAGAACTAAAGTCACTTTTTTCTCCTTATTTTCTCTTCCACTATTTGCTTTAGGGTAACCAGGAGCCAACAACAACTCCTGACGCAATGGTTCAGCCTTTTACTACCATCCCGTTTCCACCACCTCCACAGAATGGAATTCCCACAGAATATGGAGTGCCACACACTCAGGACTATGCCGGCCAGACCAGTGAGCATAACCTGACACTCTATGGAAGCACGCAAGCCCACGGGGAGCAGAGTAGCAACTCACCCAGCACACAAAACGGATCTCTCACGGTATGTGACCTGCGAGGTGGGACGTGGAAGAGCGCCTGCCTGCCGTCTAACCGCAGTCCTCTCCTGAATCATCACACCAGAAAGCCCTTTGAACTCCTCTGGCATCTACATGACACTACGTAGCATTTATGTAATTTCATCCCCCCGCCCCCAACCCTGCACCGTGTTGAAATTAGAAGTTAAGGGCTCAAATGTGAGCTCGCAGTCACTGCCCAGGAGCTTAGGGTCTAGAGACAGGACAGCCAACACAAGGTGAGCGCTGCCGCGAGGGCACACTTAGGTCAGTTTCACCAGGAAGCTTCGTTTCGCCACACCTTGCTGGTCCTTCCTGTGTTGTCACGGTACACAGTCCCACACGTTGCCTCCTCTCTCCTCCTTGACATACTCCGTCTCTTGCTCTTGGACGCTCCCTGTTTCCCTCCTGTATACTGGCAGCTCTCTTTTAGTCCCCTTTGCTGGTTCCTGTCTGTTCAGTTTTTGTTTCTTAAATGTTTTTAAGTTCTTATTTATTTATTTATTCACAAGATTTGTTTATTTGGGAGAGAGCTCGCAGGAGTGGGGGTAAGGGCAGAGGAAGAGGGAGAGAGAGAATCTCAAGCAGACTCCCTGCTGAGCACAGAGCCCCACACAGACACCCCTGAGATCATGACCCCCACTAGTAACCTGCTAAAGTAAAAGAAATGTTACAAATCATCCAGTAGGTGTATATCACATATATATCAATACACAGGAAGTCATATTGTCTGTGAGATTGCTGGTCTGTCTCCAAAGATAAAAATGTTCTATACTCTGGATAGAAAGATCTGTGTCTGGTTTTTAGATTTCTTTTTGCCCTTCCTGTTTCAGATTATCAGGAGAGCTTTGTTCAGCCTTTAAACCACTTGATATGATTTACTTCCCAATAAAGAGCCTTACAGTGGAAGCTTTTGTTGCATAAGGATGGATTTAACCTTCAAATACTTTCCATTTTCTTTTATTAGATACCAGACCACAAAGAAATCCATTCTTTCCTTGCAAACATGTTATCTTTTCAGTGTTGATCAGTTATACATAAGCACATAATTTTATACTTCGTAAGTAATGGGCTACAGTAGACAATTTATTAGGAAGATGGAAGCATGATGGGTAACAGATGAGGATTCTGCAGCATTTGTTCTAGAATCATGAATATATTGGCTGCTATCTTGGCTGCCTTTCCAAATCACTCAAATGATTATGAACTCACAGTCTTACCAGAACAACTGTGCAAAGAAGGAATAAAATAGAAATCTGAGGCTTTATCAAGTATTTTAATTACTAAGTGTTTCTTTACTAGTTATCTGTCCTTTTCCTATTTTTATTTCTACTTTCAGTTTCATATAAAATCAATCTTGGTAATTTGTGACTTTCTAGGAATTTTTCTTTTCCAACTAAATTGTCTATTTTGTTGGTACAAAGTTATTTATAATAATAATCCCATATAATCCTTTTTAATTTCTATAGCATCTTTAGTGATAGCCCCTCTTTCATTCTTGATTTTGGTAATTGTGCCTTCTTGCTTTTTTTCTTGGTCAGTCTAGCTAAGTTTTATTAATTTTGCAGATCTTTTTCAGAAAACCAGCTTTTGATTTCATGGATTTTTTTTTAAAAACTGTTGTTTTTCTGTTTTATATTTCATTGATTTCCATTTTGATCTTTATTATTTCCTTCCTTCTTCTAGCTTTGACTTTGATTTGGTCTTTGTTTATTTTTTAGCCTCTTGAGTTGTAGTTTTAAATCATTGATTTTTAGATTATTTTTTTCCTTTTTGATAATGTGTTTAAAGCTATACCTTCCCTTTAAGTTTCCCATAAAATGTGATACATTGTGTGTTAGTTTTCATTCAAGATATTTTAAAATTTCTCCTTATGATTTCTTCTTTGGTCTGGGTGACATAGATGTGTTTCTTAATTCCCAAATGTTTTAGGATTTCCCAGCTTTCTTTTCTTGATTTATAATTTAATCACATTGTAGAGAGAAAACACACTTTGTATGATTCAATTTTTAAAAATTGAGACTTGTTTTGAGGCTTAGTAGATGGTCTTTCCTATAGACTTTTCCTAACCAATTGGTGTTTTCTCATTATAAAATGTTCCTCTGTCTCTGCCATTATTTCTTCAGTCTGTTTTGTCTGATATTAATATAATCACTTCAGCTGTTCTGTCATTACTATTTGTATGACATCTTTTTCCTTCATCTTTGTCTCAAATTCTTAAAATCTAAGATGTATCTCTGGTTAAAAAACAAACAAACAAAAAAACAAAACAAAAAACCTGAATCTTTAACCCATCTGAAAATGACTGTCTTTTTATCAGAGCATTTAGTCTGTTTACACTTTAAGTAATTGTTAATATGGGTAGATTTATGTCTGCCATGTAACTACTTGTTCTACGTCTCTGATCTTTTATTGTCCCTCTGTTCCTTCTCTACGATTTCTGTTAAATAATTCTTAACTGTACCTTTTAAATCCCTTTGTGATTTTTTAATTAGTTATTTGTGTTGTTATTTTTATATTTTCTTAGTTCTTGATCAAGGATTACATCTTCAGCTTATCATAACTTACTGATGCGTGCACTCGCTCACTTACTCATCGGTGCACACGTGTGTGTGTGTCTTATTCTGGTAAAATATTGCAACTTTGATGTAATATAGCTTCGTTCCTCACCATCCTTTGTACTGTTACTGTCATCTGCATTATACATGTAAGCTCCAGTTGTATGTTTTTTACCAGGGACACCCTTTAGATTCAAAGAGTTTGAGACAAAATGAAGGAAAAAGATGTCATACAAATAGTAATCATAAGAGACCTGAAGTGATTATATTAATATCAGACAAAATGGATAAGTATTGATGGAGACAAATATACGTTAGAAATGCAACAACACAGTGTTTGTAATTATTACTTTAAAGAATCTTATATTCTCAAAGGAAGTTACCATTTTCAGTAATCTTCCTGTGGATTTGAGTGGTATTCTGATCCCATTTCCTTTCAACCCCTAGGACGTCTTTCAGTGTTTTCTGTAGACTAGGTCTATTTGAAACAAATTTCTCTGTTTTTGTGTATCTAGGAATGTCTTCAGTTTGTCTTCACTTTTGAAAGCTAGTTCGGCTCGCTGTAGAATTCTTCATTGACTGTTTTTTCACTGCTTCCCAGCACTTTAAACCTGTCACCCCACTGCCCTCTGGCCTCTGACGAGAGCCAGCTGGTTCTGAGGAGTCCACCATTCATCCTCTGTTCCCCTTTCTGTGATGAATTGCTTTTCTCTTGCTACTTTCAAGATTTTCAGTGTATCTTTGGCTTTGAGCAGTTTGACTCTCATGTGGATCTCTTTGTTTTTATCAAACTTGGAATCTATTGAGATTGGGTCTGTAGATTAATATTTTTTTATCATATTTGGCAAGTTTTTGAACACAATTTCTTCAACTATTTGTTTTTTCTCTTTCTCCTCTCTTCCTGGGACTTTCACCACAAATATGTTGGGAACTTGATGTCAGTCACCCACAGGTTCAAGTTCTGGTTTTTTTGTTTATTTGTCTCTGAGTTCAATCGAAACAGAATCTGAAGTTCTGTTCATTTTTCTTTGATGTTTTGTCTTTCTGTTCACGAGAGTGGAGAATTTCTGTTGACGTCTCTTCCAGTCCACTCACTCTCGTTCTGCCACATTGCATCAGCTTGTGACCCCATCTCGTGAATTTTTTATTTCAGTTACTGTGCGTTCCAACTCTAGAATTCTCATATGTGATTTGTTCCTCTGTTGAGATTCCTTGTCATCATATTTCCTTCATTCTTTGAATACATGTGTAATTGCCACTTAAAAGTCACCTGCTGAGTCCAACATCCAGACCCACTCAAGGGTCCATTTCTTATCTAGAGTCTGGGCCAAACTCTCATGTTTCTTTATAGGTATTGTAACTTTCTTAATAACCTGGACATTTTAATAATATATTTCAGCAACTCTGAAATGTATTTTTTTTAGAGGTATAGGTGTGTGTATATGTGTATTTTTCAAGTGATTTGCTTGACTTAAACTGTGGACTGTGACTTCTCAATGGTGTGCAGCCACTGCTGTTTCTGCACAAAATCTTAGTGATTTTTCCCCTCTTGTTTTTACTTTCTAGCCTGGCCAGGCGTTAACCCTGTGTCTCCGTAGCTTGTGGTCAGCCAGGGATTTGGGCAGATGTTGTATTTAAGCACCTTGAGCTTGTAAAGCTTCCACCCTCTGTCAATTCATCTGTTTGTGGGTTGGGAAGAGTTGGGAAGAGTCCAGAGTTCAGCCAGCTCTCAGGTCTGCTTGGCCTTTTCTCTCTGTTGGGCTCTCTCATGTGTCCCCTCCTTGTGGTTGTAGTTTCACCATTGGCCACGGGTGTGAGGAGAGCGTATCTCTCTAGCTCCTCTGTGATTCTCTCATTTCCAGGATCTCCCCTTCACGTTGCTGGCTGCTCCACCACTCACCTCAGTCAGAACACGAGCTCAAGATAGAAGAACTGTGATCCCCCCTTAGGGCCTTTACCAGACTTGCCACTTTCAGCCGACAGAGCTGTGGCTTTCTCCTGGCCACCCCCCCATCCCTAATCCTAATAATGAGAAATTAGGAGGCTCTGGTTGAAGACGCTTCTTATTTGTTTAATGTGTACATTTAAATGGGAGTGTGAATTCATTGCTCTTAAGCCATTTGCCTTTGGCAGTTGTGAGCGTGTGGGTGTTCTGGGGGGAGCGTGTGCATAGACTGAACAGTAGAGCAGTACGTCGTAAAACTCAGATTTGACAACATGAATAGATTATTCTGGTAAACTTTTACTCTCCACTGGCATGTTTCTTAAAATGGATCTGGTAATTCCTATGGCCAGTTACATTCAAAAGGTAGATAGGAAGCTTTGTTATTTACAAAGAAATGATTCCTTAAATTTCTGTAACACTTTGTTTAAAGCCTGCTTCCACAAACACTGTTTTTTACTGTGGTTCATAAACTAGTCCTTCGTGC